CCCTGGACCGAAAGACAAAGACCTGGCTTTCAGTTTCAATACATCAATTCCTAATCTTTTTACTTTGGGCAAGTCATTAACTTTTTTGAAACATTTTATTCATTCTCCTACAAAATGAGAGTAGTGATCGTTTTCCTTACATACCTCATGTGTAGTTCAAAACTAACAAGTAGTATGTATAAATTGTTTGCAAATTCTAAAGCACTTTACTCATCCAGGACTATTCTCTCAGCGGTATATTTTTTTACTCTCACTTTTATCCCCATTTTTTTTGAGGCAGAGTCTTGCTATGTAGTTCAGGCTGGCTTTGAACTCATAATACAGCCCGAGCTGGCCTTGAACTCCAGGTGATCCTCCTGCCTCAGCCTCCTGATGGTAGGATTATAGGCGTGTCTCTTTCTCTACCGACCCCCTCCCCCTGAACCCAGAGCCTTTGCACTGAGCTTCATTTGCAGTCCCGTTTTTTTTTTTTTAAATTTTTTTTTTTCTTCTTTTTCAGACAGGGTCTCGCTATGCAGTTCAGGCTGACTTTGAGCTCACTTTGTAGCCCAGGCTGGCCTCAAACTTGCAACGATCCTCCTGCCTCAGCCTCCCTAGTGCTGGGATTACAGGAGTGTGCCACCACACCCGGCCTGTTCAGTCCCTCTTTAAAAAAATTTTGAGATAGAATCTCACCAAGTTGCTGAGGCTGGGCTGTAACTTGTTATCCTCCTGCCTCAGCCTCCGAGTGCCCAGAATACAGGTGTGCACATCCTGCCTGCCTCAGAATTCCCTATTTGCAAAAATTGTCAGAGTATTTTTTCAGGAAGAGGGAAATCATCTATGGTTGTTTCCTTAACAACAGAAAATCTGACCTCATCAAGTGCCAGATGTGGAACGTGTTCCTTTTGATGGAATGTAGATCAAAGAAAAACAGGTTGATATCTCATAACTTGCATCTGGTAGGAATTGGCAGTGTGAAGATTATTTAGACCCTTCTGCACAAGGATCAGTTGGATTTGGTGAGGAGGGGTGAAATACTGCCCTCCATTCTGTCCAGTTCTTTTTCCTTACTGTTCCTGCCTCCACTCATTTTGAATGATACGGATGTGTATACAAGGGAGAAGAGTTACACAGAAGAGTAGAAAGTATTTTCTCCGTTTTCTTGTGTTTTTTGATCAGCAAAAGATTTAATTATGTAAGGAAGACTGTCCTGTTATCTGTGTACAAGTTGAATGCCGTCTTCTCTTTTATCTGAAGTGAGAAGTAGTATTGCTTTCGTAAGAAAGTTAGTATCTTTTTCCAGTGGGAGACATTTGTATCTATACTACTGTACCATGGTGATCTCCCTATGTTATCTAGGCTGGTCTTAAATTTGTGGGCTCAAGGGATCCTCTCACCACAGCCTTTCCAATAACTGGGATTACAGGCATTCACCATCATGCCCAGCTACTACTATACCTTTTTTTTTTTCCCTTTTTGAGGCAGGGTCTCACTATGCAGTTCAGCCTGGTTTTGAACTCATTTTGTAGCCCAGGCTGGCCTTGAACTCACAGCCATCCTCCTGCCTCAGCCTCTTGAATGCTGGGATTACAGGCATGTGCCACCATGCCCAGCTACTATACCATTTTTAAATGGATATTTCAATATTTATTGGATATTTTATTGCTACCTTTATCTTTTAAAAATAACTCTTTAAATTTCCTAATGGGTTTTATTCAAAACCTGTAATGTGCCGGGCGTGGTGGCGCATACCTGTAATCCCAGC